TAAGGAGATCCGAACCCTTATTTTCTTTTTTTTAACTTTTTTTTTGTTTGTTCTGTGGCTGGCTCATACAGGGATCTGAAAACTTGACGTCGGTGTTATAACACTGTGCTCTGTCTGACTGAGCTAAACAGCCAGCCCCTAAACTTGCTACAGTTAGAGGTACTTTGAGTTATCTCTGGGATCCAGGAAAAGCCGAACAAAAGCTTCAGAAAGAGGAAGAATAAAAATGGCCTTGGAGAACAGCTGCCTCTCATCTTTATCTTTCTCAGGTCCACATGAAGTCACTCGTCTATCTACATCTGCTTCATTTTCCTCTAGTTTCTTGTTGCCAAGCTGATGCAGAATCTCTAGTCTGGATACTTCTAAGTAGGGTTAGGATTGTGACTTCTAATATACCAAAATTGTGGTGGAATGCATACAGGGAGAAGTCGTAATCGCTTTCTAGTGTGTTCAGTTGGTCTGAATGAGTTCATGTAGAAGTGTTCTGAGTTTAACAGCAACTTTGAAATATGTGTTAGTNTTTTCTTCAGGCGAAGTCTTGCAATGGTCCTCTGCACCAGTGAACTCACCCCATTAATCCTCTGGATGCATACAACAAAGGCCAAGGAATGATTATCTGGCATTTCCAGAGCATGAGGTTTCACTTCTAGTCGTCTGAGACGCACCATGTCGCGTTGCTGCCGCCAGGAATCATGTAGGAATGATTCCAGTCGCTTAAACCTGAGCCCTTTTCCTTTTCTTTGCTCCTTCTTTGCCAAAAGTGCCTGCTTTGCCTGGGTGGCCTTGAGGGCTTGGTAAGCTTTCCTCTTTTTCAGGAGATTTTCTGGAACCAAAGGGATCTTTTTTCTTTGCTCGGGCTCGGCCATCTTCCTAGTGCTGCCGCTCAAGGCTCCACCTTTCAATTACAATAATAGGATTTCCCACTCTTAACAGTCACAATTGAGGCCAAGTTTCTAATACATAAAACTTGGGGGACACAATTCAAATTCCAGTGAGTTTTGGCGGTACATAATTCAATTCACTACAAAATGCAAAATATGAAGGTTTATGGGAATAAGTAAGACCTGAGGACTTGTTTTGTAATGTTTGGAAGGTGTGTATATATAAAAAGATTGCAACTTGCCTTCACCTAAAAGTGTTTTATTAAAACTGCAATAGGAATATTGTACAGAATAAAATTATCCATATGGCATCATTGAGATTCCCATGCACTGAGAACAGATAGCTTTCAGTAAAACTCTTAAATTCAAGTTCAAGATACATTGCTGCCTATAGAGTTGTCTTTATAAAAGGATGCTTTAGTTTGTTTGCCTCTGTGTGCATTCTTACTTTTGAGGAAGAACCTGGTAGATTCCCCCCCCCCCCCCCACC